TATGATAATGTTCAATGCTATCCTTGAACTTAATTTAATAGAAGAATGATATTGGACATTTTTATATAGTCTAAGCACTAGTTTGAACATTTCCAAAAGTCAAGAACTACATTAAATAAATTAAAGTATCAGAGACGACAACATATTGGGTTAAAATTCAGAGACCACATTACACATTAAACCTAAGTTTAGGGATCATTTGTGTCACTATTCCTAATTTAACAACAAGCTTCTCGAAGCTCAATTTTCACCTTAGATTTTATAAAACTTAGCTCATAACCTTTCCGTCACCACATTCTTTACCTACCAAATTTCTCGTCACCAATAATTACTCATCCAATCCAACATCACTTCTCCTCCGATGGAGCAACCAAGGCAAGGGACTCAAAGTAATTACCTTGTGAGAGCTTGTGAGGTATCTTAAGAGGAGTGAGCTTTAAGATGTCCTAGATTACCGAGAGGTTTACCAACTGGAGACATCAATCTTATCAGCAAATCCTTATTCCTTCACCATGTTTTACTTTCAATTTGCTGTGCAAAAATGCACAGGTACGAAACTAGTCAAGTTAGCTTATGCGACAATCATCTTTCAAAGTTAAGTTCGAGATGAACGGAAATCAATGCAACATAATGCGGCGATACTGTTTACTGAGTTCAACCTATATAATCAGATATGTAACATGTCGCTTCTTAGTCATTTTGTTTTTCGTGTCGGCCTTAGAGGACCTCTGGTAGCACAACGATTGAATTGGCACTAGAAAAACATGTAGAAGTACGGGAATTACCATCATCTTGGGCTGTTGGATCATTGGGGAGTCCAGCATTGCCATAGTACTCGATGGCATTGAGGATCGGCGGACTTCTAGATTGGTTCGACGTGGGACTGATCGAGTACATGACCCAGGACTCACTAAGTAGAGGGGAGACTACAGTCACTGGTTTTAAGCACTTGAGCGCCATCCTCTTCGTGAATTGATTACCATTGATGGAAACTGCGAAAAATCTTTGTTGGCTACTCGGCAGACTCTTGATTTCGGCAAAATGGAAGCATAAGATCCATTTATCTATATTGTCAAACGTCATACTACGACTCCAGGAGAAACTACCATCCCTCATGGTTTGCGCGGTGCTAAGAACTTCCCCCAGAACCTTATGCGCATGGATTTTGGACAAGGATGTACCAGATGCCCCGTTGTCGGCGAGCGAAAGCCAGTTGCTCTAGTTTTGGCCATACCAGACGCGATCATAAACATCGTCTTTGTACATGGTCAAGGCATTTTCACAAATAGTTGATACGCTCAGCCATTGAGAAATCAATAAAATTGCAAATTTTCAAGCGTCTATGCCTTCGATTAGTGGACTACTGCCATCAGTCAGATTCGTGCACGATTCAAGTAGGCGGGCGCTTGTCTGGAGACTTTAAGCAGACCGTGTTTCGAATTATTAATTGGAGTTTCCAGCAACACTCCTTGTATTTTATATAATAAATACTTTAAAAATTGAATGAGTACCTCATATCGAGCATGCTTAACGAGGGCCTGAAGACATTAAAGGTGATTAACAAATGAAGTTTTATATACTAACACAAATAGTAATTGTCAAAAAACGGAGTGGTCCAATGAAAAGGTCCAAAGTAAATTATCACGTCGTAGTTAGCTTAAACTCTCGCATAATTTACTAAATTATCAAATGCAAACAGTTTCAATCGTGAATAAGCATCTCTTCATGAGATTCTATTAGAGAATTGAGTGTTCTAGTCAAAGCTGTCAAATCATTTTCCAAAACGACTTACCTTGCATGCACAGGGTCTAATCCGACGTCGTACCGCCCGGCCAGCTTCAAGAACGCAGGTTTAATTCCATAGATGGTACCCAGAGCTGTAATGAAAGGTACTCCACTTCCTGTATTCACAACACCACCCGAATATATTCTGCTTGGGGGACACACACGATCTCCTTGTACCAAAACTTACGGTAGTAGATAATAAGAGTGATCGGTTTCCGGTCTGATCCGATTCCAAGGTAGAACCGGGAATCGGATAGGGAGGATTAGTTCCCAAAATTAGGAACCGGGACCGGACTGGTTGGTCCTAGAACTAGTGGTCCGGTCCGGTTCAATGGAAACGATCACTTTTTTTTTTCCCACTACTTGATGCCATCTTTTCGTGTTGAATTAAGTGATATGTATGTAATAATCCTCAAATTAAAAAGAAGAATAAAAAACATGCTTTACTTAGGGTTTAGTTCACATTTTACTAATTTTTTTAAAGAAATAAAACAATAAAAAAAAGTATATATTGTCGGTCCGGTCCAGTTCTCTTTGGAGTCGGGAATCGCACCGCCCGGACACCGGTTCCACTTTTAGGAACTGGGAACCAGACCAATACTCCCGGAAACTAGACCAAACTGGCCGGTCCGGTTCAGGTGGTTCTTGGTTTGGGCAGTCCGTTTTGTACACCCCTAATAGATAGTGAACAAATAAGTAACATCGATGTACATGTCGAACGTGGCCTTAGAAAAAGAAGGCCCTATAAAGTTCGTGTTGTTCTTGCGTCCCTCTGGTTTTAGCGTGTTCTTTGTTCCGCTCGGAAAGCTCCTTGAATTGTTGAGTTGTTGTCCTATGTATCCATTGGGCCTTCTGATAACGTCCTTGCTTTCTTCGGAGTCTGTATCCTTCGTCCATCTCATAGTATGTGTTGTATCCGTCATCAAGGTATGTATTAGGTGCCTGGCAGTCGATACTTATGAAACCTTGCAATTCGGAAAAATTAGATCCAAATGATCAATTTATTCTCAATTTCTGCCCTAGCAGCTCAAGAACTAAAAAGCGGTCATCTCTTATCGGGCCTTGAATCAATTAGGTGTCATGAATGTTATTTTTTTCTACAAAATTAATCCTCTCTCGTCAATTCTAACCATACACACTTGCTAGAACTGAAGTATAAGTTTGGTTTCGTGTTTATCATTTGACGGCGTCCTCAGAGAGAGAGAGAGAGAGAGAGAGAGAGAGAGAGAGAGAGAGAGAGAGAGAGAGAGAGAGAGGTGGATTATGTTGGGCTAGAGCCAGCAGCTTCAGTCGCGGGGCTAATAAAGAAGCAACGGACGCACACAAGAGGGACAAAGCTGATCAATTTACATAATTGAAGATATTACATGCAACCCATATTAGTATTAGCTTTACACTAGTACCCAGGATCGGAGGGGGTAGGAATAGGAGAAGTTCACATTGGATATAATAATAATTGGGACAATGACACAAACGGTCCCTGGATTTTGGCTCGATGTGCAATGTAATATCTAAACTTTTAATTTGTTCAATATGGTCCCTGTGTTTTAACCCAGTATGTAATGTTATCCTAAACTTTTAATTTGATCAATATGGTCTCTAAAATTTTGGTAAATGTTCAATTTAGTCATTATATTATATGAAAATATCAAATATTATCTTTCCATTAATTTAAGTTCAAGGACAATGTTGAATATTTTAGTAAAATTCAAGGATTAAATTGAACATGTATCAAGAGTTCATGATCACATTGAACAAATTAAAAGTTGAAGAATAACAGTTCACATTGGGCCAAAGTTAGGAACCATCTGTGTCATTTTCCCATATTAATTCATTTTAGTTGACTATATTAGTTAAATTTGGTCTGGCCTAAATATAAATGATAGATTTAAACTTTGGGGTCTCTTTTGTTGTTCCACTTGCTCCATTCCATGATTTATATCATAACGTGGAGGGAGACCGCATAAAAATTTGACGAACAGGGTCACATATGGGAAATAAATTGAGATAGAACCCGGTTCTAAGATCATGTTAAAATGTCCAACTCAAAAAATTAAAACTTTTAGATGGAGGGAGACCATATGTATATAAAGAACATGTAAACCTTGTAAATAAGCGATGTGTGATACTTTAACACGGTCTTTAAATATTAAACAATATCTTCATACAATAGTCAAGGGTTTTAAAATAGTTAGCATTGATTGAACAAACTTTCGACACACAATAGACCCACATTAATAGAATCAAAATTAAATCGTCTCTCGAAATATACTTATTTATCCGAGATATCGTTAACTTAGGTCTTTGAGCAAAATTGAATCTAATTAATTAGGTGAAATTGGCACTCCCTTTAGAATCATGGAATGACGTACCTTGGAATGCATTTGAAAGTTTGTACTTTCATATTATTATTCCTAAATGATCCCTGATAAGAGTGATTCATACGGTGCTTTTATTGATGGCTCGAGGAAGAAAAGCATTGGACTAGTTACACGATGTACCCCACGCTCGAGAAAAAAAATAATGAATTTTGCTTCAATAATTAATGCACATTGCACTACGATTAAAGAAATTAAAAAGCAGAGACTTTGCTATAGAAGAAGTGAGTTTTGCTTTAAACTCATTTTATTCGACCAGATAAAAAAAACTTGGTTGATGATTTTTCCATTCAAAAAGAGATAAATTTTGCGGAAAATGGTTTCTTCTTTAAAAAAGAGAAAGCATTAAAAGTTGGTTTCATTGTGACAATAATACGATTTTTGTGTTCATATTGACAGAGTAAAAAATGTTAAACTATCGTTAACTGAGATTATAAAAAAATCTTCAGCATCTTTTTATGCTTGAACAAAGGCTTTATACTTCTTGTGCTAGCACCAGATGTTTTCTAATTACAAAAGAAAGTAAAATGGCAATGGAGTTGACCGCAACTTTGGTCGATCATCTACTACGAGACAACAACATTATCATTGCTAAGATTTGCTTTAAGATTTCCTGTCATCTAGTGACGATATATCTTCTTCTTTTCCATGTTTATACCAAACCATATCTCTATTTCACTCCAGTTGCTCTTGATAATGTCTTGGCTGGAGCGATGATGGTTATCTAATTATCAGAATCATGTTGGCTTTGATTAAGGTTCTCTTGATTTAGCTAGCAGTGTAAGTCGATAACTTAGCGAACGTTCTATTTGTGTAAAATAGATGACGCTATTCAGACTCTTGAACTCGAGTTCAGGACACACTTTCTATGTCATAGTCAAGGTCCCCCGTACCCAGAACAGAAGGGTCATCACATACTTATGTCCCGGTTTGCGAAAATTCCTGTTGGTCTATGATCATTAACAGGCCGTTTTTCCTGGTTTGCTCTCTATGATGAGCCCTCATTTTTTTCTGAATCCCTCCATTGGTCACTGCTGACGGGGCTATTCTGTAGCGCATCTGTGGATCCTTTTTGACGACTCAGGCAATGTTGTACCGGAGGTGCACATCTTCTCCGGCCACGTAGCTCTCATCTAGTCAATGATACTGGTTGTTGCATTGGAACGCCGAGACAGAAAGCCTGTTCTGCATTCTAAGAATTATATGAGATTGGGATTGCCTTTTATCAGGATATAAGCATGTTGCATATTATGCATTAACATAAGTCAAGTTCACCAATGATCCATTTATTATTTTGAGCTCACCCCAGAAAGAAGAAAGATAATTAGTCTCCCCCTCTCCCCCTCTCCCCCCCTGAAGGGACGTATCGAGAACCGAAATAGAACGATCACGCAGAAAACAGAGAAAATAGACGATGCATGAATTTACCCAGGTTCACCCTCGATTAGGGTTACTTCCTGCAAAGAGATTTCATTATGTTTTTCAGTTTACAGCCACTCAACTCGTTACAATGATCAGAAAAACAAGCAAAATATATATATGCCCCAAACGGGCCCAAAACCTAAACCTATATGAAATCTCTTAATCTCGCACTATACGGGCCAGCCCAAACCCGCTGAGGTTTCGGGGGCGCCCCCCCGAGCCCCCGCCCGCTCACCGGCGAGCGGGGCAGCCGTCCGCTGACCGGTCAGCGGAACCCCCGTCAGGGGCGCTGCCCCCGAACCCCCGCCCGCTGACCGGGCAGCGGGGGCACCCGTGTCGGGGGCGCTGCCCCCGAACCCCCGCATCCGCACGCACGGGTCACATGTCGTCGGACAACACTTCAGTTTCCCTAAGCTCACGTGGGTGTACCCGGTGTGAGAAACAAGGGTCCCCGAAGTTCACACCCCCCCCCACACACACACACACACACACACAATTGCGAAATTATTGCTAATTACCCAATGGTGTTGACTCAAACTGAAATCTCAGCTGAACTCCAAGAATGTCCCGTGAAGGCCTCCTAATGCCGATTACCTCATCCATGGATAGCCCCAACCTCCCAACCACCTCTCCCCAAACTCAACATGGAGTTAATAATTTCGCAGTATTACCAATGCCATGAATTGACATAATGAATGGAGAAAGGAGCGACGAAGGACGGAAGGATATCATTGCTAGACAGCAAGTTTGGAAGTTCAGTGACAGAACGAAAAGGGAAATGGATGATGCATTTAAAGTACAAATTTGAGGGAAAAAGTTAATCTAACCTTAAAAAAAAAAAAGGATAGCCTTTCTGGATTGGAAAAGTTCTGCTACCTTGCCAAAGGGGCACTGTCAGACCGGAGCTCCAAGGAGACCATTTCAGAAGAACCGCTTGATTCGCTCACCAGAGACTCCTTCAACTCTGCCAATATTTGATTTATGTCTGGCCTTTGAATTGCCATTGGTCGTGTACAAGACATAGCAATCTTCACTACTTTCCAAGCCAAGTTGATGTCGAATTCTCCTTGTAACCTTGGATCCATAATCCTCTGTATATCACCACTTTCAACGATAGGAATCAACCATTGAAGTATGTGCATGCTGGTGCTGCCATCCCGGCTTCTCATTGTTGCAGGTTGGCCTGTGATCAACTCAAAGAGTATGATTCCGAAACTATAAACATCACTCTTCTTGTTTAAGTTTCCAGAAGATTGAAACCTGGGAGGAGGAAAAAAAATATGGATCTTTAGATCAAAGATGAAATCCTAGGCAATGTCAATATATCTATGCAAATAAAGATCCTGAACTGAACCAGAACAATAGTATTGAGTTTTGGCCATTACTCAGGGTCAAGGTAGCCAGGAGTGCCCGCAGGACAAGTCGACACGTAAGAGTCATTTTCAGTTGCAAAAGCTCTTGACAGGCCAAAATCAGCTATTTTGGCTCGGAAATCTTCGTTCAGCAAAATGTTAGTAGTCTTCAAGTCTCTGTGGATGATGGGTGGCTTGCAACCATTATGCAGATAATCCAAACCTGAAATCCTCGCAGAAACCGTGTCAATAATGCCAAAGCAATGACAGGAAGAAAACCTACAATTGTGTATATCTCATTCAAGTACCTTGTGCTACATCAACAGCTATTTGTAGTCTCTTACTCCATGTCAAGACCTTCAGATGGTCCTCTGGTGGTTGCATCTTAACTTTACCTATGAGCAAGAAATAGAGGTTTTCAGCATTATTATACAGAGGAAACAACACAACAGAACATAAACACGCACCTGATAAATGTTGCCTTAAATTTCCATTAGCCATGTATTCATATATTAGTGCCATGTGCCTAGAATCATCGCAATATCCAAACAAAGAAACCAAGTTTCCGTGGTGAACAATCATTAAGAGTTGAACCTGCAATATCACGATTTTGTATTGTCATAATGTATACTGATAATAGTCTAAGAGGAAGTTTCTGAACGTACATCTGTGTAAGTGAGCATTAGTTGGTGTAAGCGAGTATTAGTTGAGTTTAAAAAGGAAGAACGATTCCATCATCCTGTCTGACCTCGGCTTGAAATTCCTTGTACCCTTGCTTTGATGATTTAGAGAGCATCTTCACTGCAACTACAGTGCCGTTCTCTAGTGTACCAAGATATACCTTTCCAAATCCGCCTTCACCAATCACTCGTCGAAAGTTCCCAGTGATTCTTGAAACCTCTCCATACTTAAAAGGTCGATTTTTTAATCTCAGCATGCTTTCACTAGATCCTGTATCAAAAAGTTTCCTATGAGTTTTGCGACTACACTTTGGATGGTAGACTTTCGAGGCAAATAACTCCAACTGCGTCCTCAACAATTAAAAGACGTAGGAAAGATTGACGGGGAAGAGGACCAAAAATCAAAAGATCTGGCAAAGGATTATCTGTCAGCTGCCATTAATATGCTTACAACTATGTTCTTTGCTCAATACATACAGACAAGTTTGAGATTGTACAATCAAACTTTCTTTTATTGAGCATTGAAATGTTAAGGACAAAGTTGTATTCTCAAGTTGTTATAAGTCCTTCGCATGCATAGCACGGTTACTTTTGGAAAGGAAAAAATCAGAAATTTATTGTCGATAAGTTAAGCTAAATAATGCACTCTCTCTTTGTGATGCTGATGCGACCATGCTGTGGTAATTACTGTCTCTCTCCTCTCCATTTTCTTTTGATCACTATGTAACTCAGATTACTAGCATTTTGAAATTTTGATTAAAGGCACCTTTATTCCTGATTGCAATGACGATGAGATTGTAAAATAATACTCTTAGGGTGAGTGAGAAGCGATAGCAAGTTGCTGAATTGTATATTCTCAATAAAATTATCCTTGAAAAGACATTGTTGCAGATAGAACTCTACCAAAGGAAAAGCAATGTCAAGATTGTCGTCAAATGCAATGTAGATTGTGCAAACAGGAAAAGGAAGAAAACTTACCAGCTATTCTTTTCCGTTTAATTAACCAAACGATGGCCAAAGCACCAAAGAGAACTACAAAGAAACCTGAAACTGATGCAACAACCGGAACAAGGATGTTTTTTTGTTTCTTCTTCCGCAAGCAACGATCAGCTCCGCAAAGATTCGTGTTTCCTGTCAAACTGCCACAAAAGAATGAAGGAGCTGAACTTAAATTCCTATCAACAGTGCCATATGGTGATGACAAGTTGGCCTTCTTATTTGCTTTTAATCACATTAAAAAAAAAAAACATGTTGATAGTCTTGCCACCCTATAGAAGTTGCATCCGACTCAACGAGAGAGAGAGAGAGAGAGAGAGAGAGAGAGAGAGAGAGAGAGAGAGAGAGAGAGAGAGAGAGAGAGAGAGAGAGAGAGCACCTCATGATTAAAGTATTGTCCAGAACCCTTTTCTTAAGAGCTTCAGGAACTGATCCAATCAGGTTGTTTCCACTTAAATTTCTGCAAATTTAGCCATGATTAGAGGTTTCTCCACTTGAAATAATTTGCTGCTTCATTTTGCCACATTAACTTACAGATATCTAAGATTTTGCAATTCGGACAGAGTTTCTGGTATTGCTCCCGTAAGCTGATTGTTGGACAAATCTCTGGAAAATACCAAGTTTAGAACACCTAATATCAAGTTAACCAGCTCCATAGCCAAAGCAGGATGTTTCCACACACATTAGGGCAACATTCAAAAGCCTACATCTCCTAAACCACAACCTTAATCATTAAATCATGAGTTGACTCCCGGCGGTGCTTAATCAAAAGCTAAGTAGTACCGACACGTGATACGACACGCTGATACGTCATTTTTCAAAAAATAGAGAATTCCGACACGTTAGGACCCTTTGTATATTAAATATATATTTTTATATATACATAATAAATTATCATTTTTATGGTTATTTCAATCAAATTAATTTGATTCAAAGTCACAAATAAATAAATAATAAAAAAGAGCCTAGAATGAATTTACACTAAATACATTAATCCACCATTTGTTAATATCATTCATTGTTTCGAATTGACAAATTCAACTACATTCCATTCCAATAATCCATAAATTTACATATTAGCAAGAGAATCTTTCAAATCAGTGAAAGAGAAATTGAGAAAGGGAGAGCTACAGAGAGAGAAAGAGGACATACATATCAGCGATGAGTTTCTTCTTCGGAAAAAGTGCCAGAAAAGTGCTAAACTTATTGCATTTGTGCCAATTTAGTCATAAATCTTTTTTTGGTACAAATTCAATCATAAATCTTTTGTTTTGTAACAATTCAGTCCTTAATTTTGGCCGTATTTTGCTAACGTGGACACCGGCTAGCTTACATAGCACTGCCGGCGATGACGTGGACAACTTTTAATAATTTTTAAATTTTTAAATATTTTTTTTTTTTTTTAGCTTTCCCTTTCTTCTTCCTTCTACCGATCACCGATCTGGCAACCGGCTGGAGGCCAGGACCGGCAAGCCCCACTAGCCACTGGTGAGGCTCAAGCCCTCTCCAACAGCTAGGCGAGGCACGACCTCGCTAAATTTGGTGAGGTTGGGCCTTACCCATGGCCCCCGCCGGATCTAGCGAGGGTCAAGTCTTGCTGGCCATGGATGAGGTCCGACCTCGCCAAATCCTCGCCAGATCCAACGAGGTCGTACCTCACCTAGCCGCTGGCGAGGTCGAAGGCTGCGAGCTCACAACCACTGGTGAGGTTGAAGCTCACCTCGCCAGTAGATAGGTGAGGCTTGTCGTCGCAAATGGCCGATGGGGCTCGCTAGAGACCGGCGAGGGACCTAGCCGGCCCTAGCCTCCAGCTGGTCGCCGGTAGGGGAAGAAGAAGGGGAAAGAAAAAAAATAAAAAAAATTGAAAAATATTTAAAATATTATTAAAAGTTGTCCACGCCATTGCCGGTGGTGCCAGATAAGTCGGTCGGTGTCCACGTTAGTAAAATCGAGCCAAAATTATCCGGAAGAACTGAATTGGCACAAAGAGAAAAGGTTTAGGACTGAATTAGCATAAAAAAAAAGGTTGAAGACTAAATTGGCACCAATGCAATAGGTTTAAGACTTTTCTGACACTTTTCCCTTCCTTCTTCTTCTCTTTTTCTATTAAGGATTCACGATTAGGTTTTTTTGGGCTAGCTAGGTATATTATTAATTTTTGGGTGGCTGGGAATATGATTTAAGTATATATATTTTTGATAGATTTACATTTTGACCCCTAATTTATTGAAAATGTTTAAAATTGACTCCATGCATGTCGGGATGATGGACTCGCGTGTCGCTGGTGTGTTTGGAGCGCTGATCATGTGTTGGATGTCTAATACATGTTGACCATGTGTCGGTCGCATGTCAAATGTGTTGGATGCATCACCGATGCGAAGGCTCCCTGAGAGTGTCCGTGCTTCCTAGATCAAAAGTGACGTGCAGACACAACTAAATCAACGACCGTGATACTTACAAGTATTCCATTGCTGATAGATGTGAAAAAGATGAGACTATTTCGCCTGTCAAATTGCTGGAGCTCAATTTCCTGACCATCATAGATCAAAGGAGAGGAACCTGTCATTGCCATCTTCATGAAGGCAGCATTTTATGGTGCTATAAAGATAAGTTTGTGCGCTCAATTCTTCAGAATGAAAATATTTTGAGTCCTCCAGGTGTAAATGTTTTAGGTACTAGAGACCTTTCATAATCGCCAATCTCATTCCTTGCACGGGTCTCACTAGCTCCTTGTACTATAATTGACGGTTATTTGACCGTAGAGTACATAAAAGTTATTTTTGGAGGACATAATACTTGCTCAGCAAAAATGCAATTTGGAACGCTTAAGTTATAAATTGGAAAGTCGGCTATTAGTGAAAAAAGTTGTGCATGCATGACAACTTGCATCGAAGAAGGGAGAATTTAGGCTTCGTTTATTTCACGAAAAATTAATAATTTGGAAAAGTATTTCCCTAAAAATAATCGATTGCATTATTTATAAAATTGAATGTATGAAAAATATTTTCATCATCCACAAAATTGTTAAGACATAAATTGTTGTCGATATTGAAAATATTTTTCATTGACTAATTATTTCAAGTGATACAAGCGGTCATTTTTAAGAAAATATTTTTCAAATTAGTCATTTTTCGCGAAACAAACAGAGCTTTACTATCAATCGATGAGTATATAACTTGTCATGACCAACCTCATCCCTCGGGAGCAAGTTCTCCAATAGAAATACTCAAGTGGGTAACTTTTTGAGATGGGTGTCAACCTAGGGATCAGTTTGTGAGCTCACTTCAATACCATGTGAGGCTTAAGAGTGTCAAAAACTCCCTCTTTTATTAAAACACTGAAGTTTCCATCATGCCCCCATAGCCTAGCAGCACTCTCACCCCTTTGACTTGTGAATTGGTCCATTCCTGCTCCCTTAACAATCTTAGAAGCCCCGTGAGTGCCCTAGCAAATACTCTCCGCCCTCGTCAAGCCAAGTTGCAATATATACTGTTTTGTCCCAAAATGAGTACTCAAGATCAGTACCGGAGGGTGTAATACTGTAATAACTTTTTACAGTATCCTGGCCAAATTCATCTGGACGAAGCCCAAAATGGCTACTCAAGATTGACTTTTGGGGGTAGGTGTCAGATTTTCAGTCGCTTTATGTGCTCTGTCCCACTTCATGTGAGACTTTGGGTGTAACATAACTACAATCAAACAGACTCCAAGAACTTGACGAAAGCATGACAAAGTTTTCGGTCCATCTGAAAATTCACTCTGAAAGGTTACATTCACCCTAAGTGTTCTTTTTTTCCTTCTCATTGATGCATAAAACTTCCGGTTTTCATGAGAATGAGAATTATTCATAAGTTTTCGCCTAGAAAACCAATATCATCAAAGTAATAGTGACCGGGGACTCACACCAATATAATCCTTGGAGGATTTTCAGAGCTACAAGTTAGACCATCCCATGTGCAGTTGCTTGGTACACATGGATCACCTTGCCAGCTTTCTCTCTTAATGTGATACATTGCTTTGATGTCATTGATAGCTTTCACTGTAATTTAAATCACAAAAAACATTCTATTATTTAAGAAGAAGGATAGAGATGCAAAATGTGGTTACGATCACATATGAAATATATAGACTTTGAGCTTTCAAAAGAATTGTAACAATTCAGGGCTTCAGCTTGAAGAGACATTCTAGCAATTATCAAGCAAAAAGTAACCAAAGCAGAGAAATTAGCAGATAGCAGAGTAATACTAAGCCACGCCTGTTGATCCCAATAAAATCGAAGTTCGCGAATAACATAAAGACCCACAGTGGAGACTAGAATATTTAGCATAGGATGACCTAAATTCTACTTATTGAGAATGGAACATCTGTCTAATTAATATTGATGTCAATTGTAGCACAACTGTACAAAGTGTATGTAGACAATAAAACATGCAGAAGAATAAAGGCATACCATCATCTTGTGCTGTGGGTACATTTGGAAGATCGCCAATTGTATAGAACTCCACGGCATTGAGGATTGGTGGATTTCCAGACTTATTCGTCGATTCAATTGAGAAGGTGATGTTCCACCCGCTAACTGGAGTGGAAACTACGACCACTGGCTCTAAGTACTTAAGGCTCACTGTCCTTGTGAATTGATTATCATTCATGGAAATTGTGAACTCCCTTTGCTGGCCGCTCGTCAGTCTCTCAATCTCCATGAAATAAAAGTACACAATCCATTTCTTTGTGGAGATCGAAGGCCAGTGTAACTTCATGGGAGAACTGGCATTTGTAGATCTTTGAGCAGTCCGAAGAACTTCCCCGGGAACATTGTACTTATACACATCATTGTCGACAGATAAATCAATGGCAGATGTGGTGTTCAGTATGAACCAGACAGTATAGTTTTGAGCATACCAGATCCGATCGTAGACATCGTCAGGGTACCTGAGTGAGGCATTTCAACAAACAGTTTAAGAGCAAACAATTAAACAATTGACTGAGTGACTAGCAATGTCAGTTCATATGGATATGCGACAGGATTATTGAAGCTACTATATTCAACACATTACCAGCTACTATATTCAACAGAAGTCAACTGATACGGACCTATAACACGTTGTCTGCATATACAATAAATCAGTTTTCGTATTGTTCAATTTACGTAATTAAACAAAAAATTTATTGGTTTTGAAGCATTTCCTAGATGCTATGTTTTGTTTTCTGTTTTTTTTTCCCAAGCAAACAAAGAGATTGGACGGGTTGGCACCTGACTTATTAACTATTGAAATGTTTACTACATGGAATGTATCAACTTCAAATGTTAATCATATATTTAATGTAAAATGAGTATTATCACCAAACTTTCAGAGAGAGATATATTGTTAATAGGTATTCCGTGGACACTTGCTAAGAGCCTAAGACCGCTAAAAATAGTCAAAACGCAAACCGACATGTTTTGAAAATTGAAAAACAAAATACTTCAAGAAAGTAGAATAGTTTAAAGAGAAATAGTCATATTCTCAAAGAGTCAAAGTATAATCAATAACCCTCAACAAGTGTCCAAGGGACACTCTTTAAAATTTTCATATGTACTTGTAGACTCCGTCTTCAGAAGTAGACATCTAGTTCCATTATATACTAGACATAATCCAGACATAATCCGTGCTTTCCGCGGATTGTTGTACACACTTACTATAAAATCATATATAGACACTTAAGCTTAAAAAACTTATCGCACTAACGTATTAATAATATGACCCTCTAATGTTAACATAACACGAATCATTTCGAGGAACTTATATAAGGGAATAGTCAAATGGTAGTTTGACCCATTATATTTCATTTGTGCTTACTATGTCTCAATTACACATAATTTAGGGAAAATTAACAAAAATGCCCTAAACCTATTATACTTGTGCCAATTCAATTCTAAACCTTTTAATTTAGCTAATTTAGTCAAAAACCTTTCAATTGTGCCAATTCAGTCCTAAACCTTTTGACGATTTGCCAATTTATGTATAAACCTTAAAGGTGATGCTTAGGGAAAATGTTGTTATCATATATTGACTAGCAAAAAAGCATATGTATTTCCTATAAATGAAGATTTGACATTTATAAGATTTTACAAAATCATCTTATCACGAAATATTTGAATTATTAATTATCAACAGAAAGAAATATTGACACCATTTAAAGGAATTGAACATATAGATATGGAAAGAGAAAAATATTTTAACATTTGAATTTTTTTATATGATTGTTTCTCAGATAGAAAAATTGTTAAATTTGAAAGTTGACATACGCGAGAGACACGATAAAATTATTAATTTATGGATTTTTTTATTTATAGAATATTTACAAATTTTTGGAGAAGAAAAAGAAAATTGTGATCGCTTAAAAGTATGAGGTTCTCCTTATTTTAAATAATAGTATAGATATAAATTATACTATATGTCTTCTCTTATGTTCACTGATTGGAAGAAGCTAAAGATTACAAAAATTAATAGCTGGCAAACCCCATGCTATGCAAATTCTACACAGGAAAGAAATTTCTTTTGTAGATGATACCTGTACAGCCATTACCGTAAAATAAAAGAGTAAAATTATGAGATTATGACTTTATTAGTGTGTGACTTAGTAAGAAAATATTAAAATCAGGAATGCCTGCCTGGTAGGCTGGTAGTACGTATACACGGGATATAAATTACATCTGTTGACATCACAGACCAATAATAAGTGAATTTCCTCATATTCAGAAAATCAATTGATTACCTGATAAAAGACTTCGAGCTCAGTCCGATGTCGTACCGCCAAGAGAGTGGCAAGAATCCAGATCCCAATCGATAGATGTCATTATCAAGAGGTCTTAGTTCCAATGCCGAAATGAAGGGCACTCCCTTGCCAGTATTCACAAGGCACACTTGTATATCATCTGCCTGGGACACGTACATGATTTCTTCACAGAAATACGTCGGAGAGTTCACCGTGGCCCAATAATTAACGCCGATGTGTAGGTCGAAAGAAGGAGTTTGATTCTTCCCATCATAGTTCCCATACCAAAATGTCGCCCTGATCAAATATGTGATGTTCGTGCCTCGGTCTGGTCTTAAGGTGTAACAGTTCCTCGTTCCGTTGGGAAAACTCCTTAAATTCTTCGAATATTGTTGATTATATGTATATATGACCTCCGACGATACCTGCATGTTCTCTCCGAAGTCTATGAACCTTTCATCCGTTTCGTATGTTATGTTGATTTCCTCTTCGGTGTATTGATTAGGTGCCCCACAATCGATGCTGATAAAACCTTGCAAGTTCAGAGAAAAGAAGAAAAACTCGATGAAATGGAATGATGGTGTTTCTATCGGATCGTTGGAACAAGTTCGGCGAATCTCGATCGTTCACACAATTCCATACTATTGTATCTACCGGGCGTCGGATGGGAATGAACAGAAAGAAGAGACCATTTTGACTTGATTAGAGGTCATAACTAATGGACGGACATCGACAATACAATGGCCAACATTTCCTGACATCGTAGAGGGGACAATAATATGGTCCGAAGCTTAAACCACAAGACAGAGAGATATCATGCTGTGTTTGGGAGAAAGAGGAGAGGAAAATTGGTGTCGAGGATGTCCACAGTATTAAATTTTCCCTCCTATTCCATCTTCCAAATAATTTATGCTCTCTCAGTTTTTTTACTCAGATTTTCTTCCGCCCCCTCCTCTCCTCTTTTCTCTCTATTTTTCAAGCAAAGCATGCTAACTTAATAGACTATTGCACGATTTTGAGACAGAGAGAGAGAGAGAGAGAGAGAGAGAGAGAGAGAGAGAGAGAGAGAGAGAGAGAGATACCTGCATTTTTTTGGGCTTGAACCACAAGGACGAGTGCTGAAGCTAAAGAAGCAAGCAAAGCAAACGAGAAAGCTGCAAGTGATCTTTCCATTGTCATCGAGCAGCTTGAGATTGTCCAAGAGAGAAGTGTAAGGAAGATATGCATGCACGCAATTTGTTGATATCATGAGCAGTCGATACGATAATTTGACAATTGACACCATCTTAATGCCCATGAGCCTAGTATTTTTCATTGGTAGTCACCTCTATATCGTCTGCTAGGACCACCGAACGGACCATCGGTATCAACGAATTCAGACCGACCACGTTCGCTTGCCATTAGGCATCGCCGTGTTATCTGGGCTAAGTCAATATCATTCACAAAAGAAAAGGCAAAAAGACTTTTGCTAAGAAAATTTAATGCATGATGGTTAACCCGAGAAATGGGAAGTCGTAGGTTGCTTTCAACGAAAATGATAACAAGAGAAATCTATTAAAAACATTAAAAAGCACCTTTTATCGGTGAATAATGTGTTATGGAAAGGGGGGAAAATTGTTCAAAAAGTCCTAAACCTATTATAATTCATCTATACATTTAGTCCTAAAAATGTTGACAATACCGATTAAGTATTAAACCTTTTCAAAATTTGCCAATTTAGTCTTAAACATTTTAACGAATTGCTAATGTAATCCTTTTAGCCAATTTTTCCTAGAAATCAATGGCGTAGCAGTCCATTCTGCAGCAGCCTTCCTACGTGGCACAGTCTGCGCTGATATAGATAGTTTTTTTTTGCCAATTTTTTATTAATTTTTTGTTGATTTTTTTTTTCTTTTATTTTTTTCATCGCGGGCCGCCGGCCACTACCCCAGGGCGAGAGCCATAAAGCCCTTCTCAGCTGCAAGCAAGGGTCGCAACCCTTTCCTAGGCCTTCGTTGGCCACAACGAGGGCGTCAGGGGCCTTGCCCAGGGGCCAATGAAGGTCAATGGCCCTCAGCCAGTGGCTGGTGGCTCCACTGACCCCGTGAAGCCAAAGAAGCAAGCAACGCAAACGAGAAAGCCGTAATGGATCTTGCCATTGTCATCGAGCAGTGGAGATTTTTGAAGAGAGAAGTGTGAGGAAGATATGCATTACGGCTTTATATACCGAGCAGTGGATGAAGGATACACTAGCTTCATATATACCGTGTGATTCATTTTATCACAACAAGGAGGGAGATCACATATATATAAAAAATATATACTTTATTACGTCCTTTCACATTCAAACATGATTTGACATGTCAAATTTGGCCAACAGGGGTTGCATATGTGAAATAAATTGGCGCAAAACCTTACTCCAATACTATGTTAAAAAATTCAACCCAAAATATTAAAATTATTGATGAAAGGAGACTATTTATATATAAAGAGCATATAAACCCCGTAACAAGCGATGTGGTGATACTTCAGCACAACATTTAAATATTAAGGGTTAATACCACAAAAAACCCTAAACTGGTACACTTGTGACACATTTACCCCAAACTATTTTTTTAACCATAAAAAACCCCAAACTGGTACACCTGTGACAATTTTACCCTGAACTATTTTTTTGACCACCAAAAACTCCAAACTGGTACACCTGTGATAATTTTACCCTGAACTTACCACAAAAAACCCCAAACTGGTACATATGTGACAATTTTACCCTGAATTAAAATTTTAATTTTTTTTTTTCGAATTTTTATTTATTTTTTATTCTTTTCTTTTTTTTTTTTTCATCTTCAGACCCAGGCCGGTCGCCGGCCCGGCGACCGGCCAGAGGCGGAAGTCGGCGAGGGCCGCCCTCGCCGGCGTTAGGCGAAGCGACCCCTCGCTGCGTCGGGCGGGCTGCCCTCGCCGGCGTCGGGCGAGGGCCGTCCTCGCCCGCCAGGGTAGGGCGACCCTCGCCGTATCGGGCGACCCTCGCCGGATCGCGAGGGCCGCCTCGCTCGCATCGGGCGAGGGCCGCCCTCGCTTGCATCGGGCGAGGGCCGCTCTCGCTGAGTCGGGCGAGGTCGCCCTTGCCCCGAGCGGGAGAGAGGACGGGCCTTGCCCGACGCAGGCGAGGGCCGCCCGACGCAGGTGAGGGCCGCCCGACGCCGGCGAGGGCGGCCCTCGCCGGCTTCCGCCTCTGGCCGGTCGCCGGACCGGCGACCGGCCAGAGGTTGAAGGTGAAGGAAAAAAAAAGAAAAGAAAAGAAAAGAAAAAAAAAAAATTCAAAAAAATAATATTAAAAATTAGTTCGGGGTAAAATTGTCACATGTGTACCAGTTTAGGGTTTTTTGTGGTATGTTTGGGGTAAAATTGTCACAGGTGTACCAGTTTAGGGTTTTTTATGGTCAAAAAAATAGTTTGGGGTAAATGTGTCACACGTGTACCAGTTTAGGGTTTTTCGTGGTATTAACCCAAATATTAAATAGTGTCTTAATGCAACATTTGAAGATTTTAGAACGGTTAGTATTGATTCCTCAAACTTTCTACACGCAATAGTCCCACATTAGTAGAATAAAAAATTAAATCGTCTGTCGATGTACACTCATTTACCCAAGATTCCCATTAATTCGGGTCTTTGAGCGAAATTGAGTATAATCAATTAGGTGAAATGGCTACTACTTTGAAATTTAAGGAATGACATGCTTTGGAGTGCATTTGAAAGTTCGTACGCTGGTTTTACTATTCCTAAATGATCCCAGAGTGATTCATTCAGTAATTTTTATTGATGGCTTGAGCAAGAAAAGCATTGTACTAATTACATGACGTACCACCACACTCGAGAACAATAAAGATGATTTTTGCTTCAATAATGCACATCGCACTAAGATTAAAGAAATTAAAGAGCAAAGACTTTGCTGTAGTAAAAGTGAGTTTTGCTTTCACATTTGTAAATTTGAAAAAGAGTCTTCGTTGATTGATTATTCCATTCAAAAAGAGATTCTTGTTGTGGAAGATGGTTTTCTTTTCCAAAATAGAGAAAATGGAGTTGACCGTTTCTTTGGTCCATCATCTACTATGAGACAACAACAACATTATCATTGCTAACATTTGCTTTTAATTGACGAACCAAGATATTTTCCTTCAAATGTGTTCCTTTCATCTAGTGATAATATATCTTCTTCTTTTCGATGTTTATATCAAACCGTATCTCTATCACAGTATTTAGTTACTCCGAGCGATGATGGTTATCTAACCATCAATGTAATGTCAGCTTTGATTTAGTTTCTCTTTAATTCGCTACAGGCGGAAGTCGACAACTTAGCGAACGTTCTATTTGCGTAAAATAAATGACAGCTATTCAGACTCTAATTTCCCTATCTTCTCTCTTCTTATGGTCTCAATTATTCTGTCACAAGTGATGAATCAATTGTCACTAAAAGTGACTTGACTCTTCCCTTGTCTTTTAACTAGATCAGAAAAGCTTTTGTCAATTCTCATGGCAGACCGACAAAGTCACTAGAGTAATGACGATGAAAGGGACTTGAGTTCAGCACACACTTTCTACGTCCCAAGTGTTTCGACTCTGTGGTTCTGTTGTTGCCGGTGGTGCTGCTTGATCAAAAGTCTCCGAACCCAGAAGGGACATCGCATACTTATGTCACGGTATGTGCAAATTCCTGTTGGTCTAAGATCATTAACAGGTTCTTTTTTTTCGGTTTTGCTTGCTAGAACGAGACCTCATTTTTTTCTGAATCCCGCTATTGATCGCCACAGACTGGACAAATCTGTGGCACGTCGGTTGATCCTTTTTGGCGAATCAGGCAATGGTATACCGGTGATGCACATCTTCTCCGGCCACGTAGCTCTCGTCTAGTCAATGATACGGGTTGTTGCATTGGAATTCCGAGACAAAGCCTATTCCGCATTCTAAGAATTAGAGAGATCGGGATTGCCTTTTATCTGGATATAGACATGTCGCAGATGTATGCATTATCATAAGTCAAGCTCGAGTCTTGTTAAAGCAAACTATATATGAAATTGAAAAGAAGATTAGACATTTTTTGTGGGTTGGAAATACAGAAGGCCACGGATCACACAAAGTTGCTTGGGAAGTTGTTTGTTCGCCAAAAAAGGAAGGAGGTCTAGTGTTGCCTCATCTAAAATTATGGAACAAAATTTTGCTTGGCCGTATGCTTTGGAACCTCATAAATTGTCCGTCATCTTCCTTGTGGAGTAAATGGGTTCATAGTACCAAGTGTAGAGGCAATTCGATTATGCAGCTTGAAATCAAGGGCTCTATGGCATGGAGTTGGCGTTGTATTCTTCAACTAAGACTAGCTTTAGCTTCAATCATATCTAGACCAAGATATTGTTGCCAAGAGGTATACGATGAAACCAGAAATGTGAGACCGGCTGTGGAATGGTCCCAATTGATCTGGAAAGGAGGTATTAGCAAGCATAACTTCATCGGCTGGCTAGTTTGTAGAGATAGACTACAAACAGCAGAAATCATAGCACGTTGGAAGCCTGAAATAGATATTCATTGCAATCTTTGTATGTCTGGTCTGGAAAGCAGAGACCATCTATTCTTCCAGTGCACCTGGACCGGAAGCATTTGGCGCACTATTCTTGCACAATACGGAATTCGACGCCCTGTAGAAGGATGAAATGATGAACTTAAATGGATGATCAAGGCTACAAAAGATAAGGACTTGGCGGCGAGACTTCTGAAGGTATCTTTTCTAGCGATCATATACTGCATTTGGATGGAGCGTAATCGTAGACGCTTCCAACAAAAGTCAAATGACGCTCTTATCATTTTGGCTAAAGTTCGCAAACTTGTCAGAGGGCGAGCTTCGCACTACAAATCTTTTAGACCGTCCCGAACAAATGAAACTTTGGCTACTATATGGAGACTCCCCCACTCCATTTTTTTGTAATCTTAGTTCTATTTGTAAAGCTGGGGAATGCCCCTAAACTTCTGTACGTCATCTTATAAATACTACTTACATTTACACCAAAAAAAAAAAAAGCTCGAGTCTTGTGTCCATAATTTGTCAACGATGCATGTGTGTATATCCCAGGTTGCTTGTGAGAAGTACTACATTAGGACCACCAGAAAGAAAAAAGATAATTAGTCCTCGTTATAAATTTTCTTATTCTAGCCCCTCAACATTGCATAATTGTTGCTACTTAATCAATTGTGTTGATTCCAACTGAAATCTCAGCTGAACCTCAGGAACGTACTGC